GAGTTCAGATTGTCACCTGGTGGGTCGACTAGGGGCTTTAACCATCCACAAGGCAACTCCAGAGTTTCTCTGTAAACTTCTTTACCTTTAAAAAGAATTTTAAGTGGCGGTGCTGGAATTCAAGCTCAGGTCTGCTTGAACATGTTTCTTCCTTACATGGTTCAAGTAATTAGAATATTCAACAGGTATAAAAAAATCCATGAGTTTTTTGGAAACAAGTGCTCATTTTCAACCTTTTAATATAATCTTTCCATTCCTTCTTAAATATGGGAGATACTGAAAATCCTATAATCCATGATGCTAAGAAATTAACTTCTCTAGAAGGACAGTAGGTGGCATTTCATTTCTTTGCTTATTTTTTTCTGTTTTCATTGAGGTTATAATATATATGGCATTTTTATTTCATTAAATATTCAAAGAGGAAGTTCAAAAACTCAGTCTACTCACAGTCTGAAGTCCTGTAACAAAGCCTTGGCCACTGTAAGGTTTTAGATTTCAGGGTATGATTTTTGTATAGATGCTTTTTATATATTAAACCCACATTAAAATTTTTCAGAAGCTGTTGTAAGAGAGCACATAAAATCAGCATTATGCTGTAATTTGCAATCATAGTGTCTAATGGAGGGCTTGGAACACTAAGCATAGTACTGTTTAATCCTAATGTCTATGTTTATTACATCTTCTTTTGAGTTGGCTTTGCTAAAAGGATAGACTACAGTAATATATGTAATGTGGAAACTAGCATTCCAGAATCTTCTTCATGCTTAATATTTAACAAAATCAAGTTTACTATATATTACAGAAATTATTCTGAATAAGGGGAGAAAATTATCACTTACATCTATGGTAGTAGATAAAATTTATAAGATTTTCAAACTAGAAAGGTATTTATGAGTTATGTGGACTAGTATTATATGTTTTAGCAAGACCAACAGGTTAAGACATATAAAAAGAATCCAACTAATCAATGTGGATGTTCCCATCATTTCATGGCTATACCTCTGGAGGGTTTTTTTTTTTTTTTTTTTGCAGTACACGAGCCTCTCACTGCTATGGCCTCTCCCGTTGCGGAGCACAGGCTCCGGACGCAGGCTCAGCGGCCATGGCTCACGGGCCCAGCCGCTCCGCGGCATGTGGGATCTTCCCGGACCAGGGCACGAACCCGTGTCCCCTGCATCGGCAGGCAGACTCTCAACCACTACGCCACCAGGGAAGCCCTTGTTTGGTTTTTGTTTGTTTTTTAAGTTAAAGTGACTTGGCTGGGTCTGACTGGGACAAAACTGATGGTTCCCTATTTGAGTGGCTTTGGAATATTTATGTGTGGTTTGCATTTGGCTCTATCCCTTCCTTATCATTACATCCTTTCTCTGCAGCCCATTTTCTGCATAGCCTTTCTGCAGCAATGCTAGCTGGAGAATAAGTAGGAATTCAAAGAGGATTAACTATCGCATAAGAAGCTTATGAGTATTCGTAATAATAAGTTGCTTAAAACTAGGTGGCAAAGCTTAGGGAGGTTCGTGTGGTTTAAAGGCACATATTCACATTTTATCAGGACCTTCTTAATTGTAGTAGATTAGTTCTCTCAAATTTAACATGAGTTTTCACTCGTTGGCAGGTAGCCTGAGAGGTCATGACATGTAGTAATTTATCACTTTGCCGAGGGATGTATTTGAATCACGTCTCTACTGAGGATGGTATGCATAAGCCCAACCTAGAATCTGGATTCATACCTCATCTCTTTGTGTTTCTTACTTAAAATGTCATCAACCCTGATGTCCATTTGACAGAGTGGAAAATTATGGAAAGCATATTCTGTATGATTTGTGTAAATTAAGGGTTTTTTGAAGATCTTTGTCTACTTAAAAATAATGAGTGGTATCTGAGTAATTATTGTGTGATTTCTTAGAGGTATATAAGAAGAAATGTAGATTATAGATGCTAGGGAAGTTTATACCCTGGTTGTGCATTTTTTATGAATTATTACAAAGTTCATATAAATTGTTATAATCACATAGTTACACATTAGCAAGTGCTCCATTGTATTTATTTTTTAATGCACTAGTGCTTAGAAGTAAAATAAGGACATTATAATCAGGATTTATCACGGAGGACTTCCTGGAGGAGGTGAACTTTGAAACAAATCGATCCTAAATATCACCTTGTTGAAGGGTGTTCCCATACTCACGATAGGGTCTTAAGCAAAGGACAGCCTTAGTGGTAGATAAATTGAACAGTAAACTCAGTAATCCACAGGATATGATTTTTCAGACAAGGACAGTCTTTTTACTAGTGCCTGAAGTTCTCTTCATGTTTCAGACAGTTTCTCACCTCAAGGCTTTGTCATCTGTTAAGAGAAACAGTCTCCCCTAGGAAAAGGAAGCCGTAAGGCTGACTCAGGTATTTACTCTTGAAGGTAAATATATTTCGAGTCTTTATTAAAGAGGACACAATTAATTTGGGGATTGCTGGATGCAATCTGACAACTTTACATTTTCAGAGGTATCATTAGAATGAACAGACATTAATGTAGAAACAATAAATGCTGGAGAGGGTGTGGAGAAAAGGGAACCCTCTTGCACTGTTGGTGGGAATGTAAATTGATACAGCCACTGTGGAGAACAGTATGGAGGTTCCTTAAAAAACTACAAATAGAACTACCATATGACCCAGCAATCCCACTACTGGGCATATACCCTGAGAAAACCATAATTCCAAAAGAGCCATGTACCAAAATGTTCACTGCAGCTCTATTTACAATAGCCGGGAGATGGAAACAACCTAAGTGTCCATCATCGGATGAATGGATAAAGAAGATGTGGCACATATATACAATGGAATATTACTCAGCCATAAAAAGCAACGAAATTCAGCTATTTGTAATGAGGTGGATAGACCCAGAGTCTGTCATACAGAGTGAAGTAAGTCAGAAGGAGAGAGACAAATACCGTATGCTAACACATATATATGGAATTTAAGAAAAAAGAAAATGTCATGAAGAACCTAGGGGTAAGACAGGAATAAAGACACAGACCTACTAGAGAATGGACTTGAGGATATGGGGAGGGGGAAGGGTAAGCTGTGACAAAGTGCGAGAGTGGCATGGACATATATACACTACCAAACATAAGGTAGATAGCTAGTGGGAAGCAGCCGCATAGCACAGGGATATCAGCTCGGTGCCTTGTGATCGCCTGGAGGGGTAGGATAGGGAGGGTGGGAGGGAGGGAGATGCAAGAGGGAAGAGATATGGGAACATATGTATATATATAACTGATTCATTTTGTTGTAAAGCAGAAACTAACACACCATTGTAAAGCAATTATACTCCAATAAAGATGTTAAAAAACAACAAAAAAACCCCACTATGCTGAGCAAAAGAAGCCAGAAAAAAAAAAAAAATCATGGAGATGATAAAGGGATCTCTTTATCATCTTAAAACATGGCTACCTTGTAACCTCAGTATTCCAAGTTATTTGGGAGAAATTTTATTTTCAGCTGAGGACATGAAAAATGTAAACAGATCAAAGGTTTTATTTTTAAAGAGGTGAAATATTCATACAATGGAATATTATTGACTCTTTAAAAAAAAGAAGGAAATCCTGCCATTTGTGACAACATGGATGAACCTGGAGGACATTATACTAAGTGAAATTAGTCAGATACAGAAAGACAAATACTGCATGATCTTACTTATATGTGGAATCTAAAATAGTCAGACTCATAGAAGCAGAGAGCAGAATAGTGGTTACCAGGGTCAGGGGAAAGGGGAACTGGGGAGATATTGGTCAAAAGGTACAAACTTCCAGTTATGCAAGATGAATATGTGACTACAGTTAACAATAATGTATTGTTTACTTGAAATTTGTGAAGAGAGGAGATCTTAAGCATTCTCACCACAAAAAAAGAAAAGAAAAGAAAAGAATGAAAGAAATAAAATGGTTACTATGTGATGGATATGTTAATTAACTTGATTGAGATGATCATTTCATAATATATATCAAAACATCAAGTTTTGATAAAACCTTAAATATATACAATTTCTATTTTTTGATTATACCCCAATAACACTGGGGAAGAAAAAAAGATTAAAATACTGTCATGTTTGTTTTCATAACATAATGAAAAAAGCTAAAGCAGTGATTTGAGCTTTGACTTTTTCAGTTCATTAACCTCTAGATTGCAGGAAGAAAAATCTTCCAGAGGGACTTCTCTTTGTAAGTACCAGAGCAGTCAATTTCAGTGAAATAAGGATAAGGAATGAGCACAGGCGGAGAATTTTTCAAAATGCAGATGTCAGGACCCATCCCCAAAGGGCATATTTCAGTCTTGGAAGGAGGAAGTCTTATACGTATTTTCTAAAAACACCCACATTTATTTTGATCTGATGCAATCATCTAGAAACCCTCTGGAATTATCCTTTAGGAGGGCTATTAAAAAATATCAAGCCCTTATGGCATGCTTGTGATTTATCCAGTTTGGAAGCTGGAATTAAGTAATTATGTGAAGATGCAAACGCTCGCATTATTCAAGCAATGGTGTGCAATAGTGATGATCTGGACTATTTCACTCCCACTCTATTTCCACTATATATAATTTACCTTCTAGGTTAGGTTTACTGTTGAAAAAATAACATTTGACCTTGTGATACCTCCCTGAATAAGGTTTGTGTGACATAAAATGTTAGTCTTTTGCTAGATTGATTTTGCTCCCTTCCTTATATATGCTTAATTATAATCTAAAGAGGAAACTAAGCTCCATCAGCTTACTTGTTTGTTTTTGTTTGTTTTAAAAAATTGGGCTTCATAAACAGTACAACTTTACCCACATTTGCAGGTGGGGATAAAGGAACGTTTGACTATAATTAAGGGCAGTTTTAATAAGTACCTTCTAATGCACCGTTAGCAGAGAAGCTGGAATAATTTCAGAAAGCGGTTATATTATTTGCTTTATCTTAGGTCAGGCTTACCAACATTGATTCTATGTTTTTTTCCCTTCTTCAGATGTACATCCAGACAACAACACTTACTGTCTCCATGAGTTTAAGTGCTTCGGTGTCTCTGGGCATGCTCTACATGCCCAAGGTTTATATTATAATTTTTCATCCAGAGCAGAATGTTCAAAAACGCAAGAGGAGCTTCAAAGCTGTGGTGACAGCTGCCACCATGCAAAGCAAACTGATCCAAAAAGGAAATGACAGACCAAACGGCGAGGTGAAAAGCGAACTCTGTGAGAGTCTTGAAACCAACAGTAAGTCATCCGTAGACTTTCCGATGGTCAAGAGCGGGAACACTTCCTGATAGATGTACGTTGAACATTCTTCTACTGGTCTTGGGGACTGTGCTACGTGGTTCCAGGGGCCTGGTGGTACTCGCACACCATGAGACCATCACAGCAGTTAGAACCATTTGGTTAGAACCAAACGATTTCAAGGCAAGTGGCTCCTCTCCAGAGCATGACCATAAACACGAAATCTCTTTTACAAAGTGTGACGCTCAAGTCTCTCTTTTGAGGCATTACAGAGCTTGAAGCTTGGAACTATGCTCCATTTATAAAATTATCCTTTAGCTCTTAGGAACTACTCTCCAATCTTTGTCAGTTCAATACTGGTCGCTCTTCACAGAATTAATAGTTAACTAGTATTTACGAAACATGCTACCAAAGATCTTATACAAATAAATGATACGTTATTCAGATATTTAGGGAAATGAGAAAACTAGTTAGCTAACATGTTAGGTTAAGTCACAGTCTATATTTGTTTTCCCAAAGTGGTCCCCTTCTTTGGTTTCCCTTGATTTCCCTTCTTGGATATATTAAGGTAATTAGAGCTCTTCTCTGAAAGCCTCAAGACCCTGAAAATAGGACCCCTTCTACAGCCACCACTCCACTTTTCCTTTCCTCACCTATTATCTTCTCTATAATCATCCCTGAAGAAGCACATAACAACATACTGGTACCAAACTAAGCCAGTAGAGTTTAACTGAGCTGTTCAAGCCCATCTTGGATTCTATGGAAGAGTAGCAAATAGATTGAAGGTATGCATTGCAAAATACCAGAAAGCTGAATACAGTGAAAAAAAATTATATATATGTGTATGTGTGTGTGTGTGTGTGTGTGTGTGTGTGTGTGTGTCTAACCTATACATTACGAGATTCTGTAGATGGTTCAAAAAGAAAAAAAAAAAAAAGCTAAGGTCCTTGTATTAGAGTGGCTTCCTGTCTTTTGGGAATATAACACAGGCATTTAATAATTAAGGATAAAACCCTATGCAAAAATGCCCTCTTCCTCTCGGATTCTGCCAGGAGGCTGTATCTCCTTTTCTCTGTACTTTTGACATGAAATACAGAAAAGATTGAGATGACTTTATCTGATTTAATTATTACAACAACTTATAGTCTTCACTAGATTCACAAACCTTCCCTTGCATCAAGAGTTCCAGGTGAACACTGTCTACTCTAATGCCCCACATGCAGAACTATCCTTAGAAGATAAGTATTGATTAATTAAACTTATTGGCTTCAATGACTATCAGACTTCTTGGAATGACTGGCCAGGTCCTCTAGGAAGATGACCTTCAGCTCGTAAATATCAAATTCAGTTACTTGTAGAGAAAGAAGCCTTTTAAGAATTTCACAGACATTCCCCACATATTCAGTCTTCTGCAAACATGAAATCTTGAGGAAGTGCAAGAGGAGGCACAATAAGGATGGGTTTTGGTATCAAATGGTTATAATCATCTCTGATTATAGATAAGCAATTGACTAATAGTGGGGCTATCTGGGCTCCTAGCAAAGGTTGTGCTGTAACTACTCTCAAAGGCATCAGTGTAGAATGCTTGTGATTTCAGGGCAGAATTTTATTTGTTTCTTCTGCCTTGAAATCATCAGTGCAGGAAGTTAAAACCTAACGTAGGATGCCAATAAACTACTTTTGGCCAGTGATACACTTTGAACACTGGCACTTCTCAGTATGACTCACCAGAGTCTATAGTTGTACTTGGTTTTTAGCAGCAATCCAGAAAACCTTATATAATATGGTTGCACATGGAAACAACCAAATGTACACTGAAATAAATACCAGTTATCCTGGACTCACCTCTGAAATGTGGTAAGGAAAAAAATTAATAAACTTTTTCCACCGCTTTAAAAAATAAGTTAGTTCCACGAAGGGAAAATGTGCTGTATGGATAAAGACTAATCCCATGCTATAGAAATAAGTCTCATACATTTTGTTTTCCTTTTATTATTTTCTGTTGCTGTTGAAATGGAAATTTCATAGCATGTGTACGTTTCCCTCTTTTCTCTGAAAATACGAATGAAAGATTACAAATGTGAAGGCTGTATGGCTGCTAAGCCTATAATATTTTGGAGGAGTTGAATGCTCACCTTTGGAAGGTAAAAGAAAGTTAAGAAGGTGAATCAAGATAAAGTCAATTATGACCTCAAGGAAGGTTAAATTGTACTTTGGGGATTTTACTGTAGTATTCCTCTTTTACAGGAGTGGTTTGGGTTGAATAAATTAGGCTCAGATAAAGTGATTACAGTTTACACATTCAGGAGAGACAGAGTAGGAAATCCTCACACATCCTTCTGCAATCCCACTCCTGGTAACAGTTGTTAACCTTTGTTCACTTAAGGACTAGCTACAATGTACCCCCTTGTGTGCTTGTTCCCTTTACCAAATGCACCAGTGGTTTGAATGGAAAAAGTAAAAAGTCTTCCAAAATCACAAACTCTCTAAAACTACCAAAAACTTGAAGAGCTTAAATGCAATATTTTTCTTCTAAAAGTGCATCTTATGTCTTTAGAAGTATAATTGAATATTGGAAAGCTTTTGCCATTCAACTCTCTGTAACTAGTACCTTGCCTCCTCAGATTTAAAATACCTCCTTTCAAAACCGGTGGAGTCTATTCTCAATCAAACCAGGACTAGTTAATCCACTGGAACAGTATCCATGTTGCCGCATCCTCATACTTTCTGCTACCAGACTTTTGATAAATCACCATTACCACAATGACTTGACAATGACGTATAGGACAGTGTTTTGTAAACTATAAATCACTACATAAAGGTAAATGTATCATTGCTCCCATGAAGATATAGATTGGTCTCTGAGTAACAAAAAAGAAGACAAAATTCAAAAACTATTTTTTTCGCATCCCCTTTTATAAAGATTTTTTTTTGATGTGGACCATTTTTTTAAAAGTCTTTATCGAATTTGTTACAATATTGCTTCTGTTTTATGTTTTGGTTTTTTGGCCCCGAGGCATGTGGGATCTTAGCTCCCCGACCAGAGATCGAACCCACACTCCGTGCATTGGAAGGCGAAGTCTTAACCACTGGACCACCAGGGAAGTCCCTCCCTTTTTTTAATATGTGAAGGATTTTGATAATTATGGCTACTATGCTACACTCAGGATTTTTTTTCTGACCAATTAACTGTATTTATGATATGCATGCAATGTTTTTCTTTCATAGCTATGGAGTTCTACAAGTCCATCATTCTTAGAAATTTCATCTTAAAGATGACTTGTTAATGCCAGAAATTCTGATGACATATTTAAGGAAAGCTTCTAATGGTACACAGAATAAATAAAAGCAATGTGAAGCTAGAAGGGAGACCAAATGACTCCACGTTAATGACTGAATTTGCAGAATACTACATTTCACACATAAAAAGGTCAAGCGTTGTTTCATACAAGTGTGGAAAGAGAGTTAGAAACAAAGTTGGTATATATGAATTTTATCAGTGGTACCCAATTAACGAATGCTGTAACACGGTATTCCTTAAGCTCTATTCATGCATAATTCATGAAAACAGCTGCTTCTGGAGGTAGATCTCCTTTCTCTAGCTTATGAACACAGTGTGGTGTGCACAGGAAATTCATTGTTGCTGTACTCAAGCCTGATTTTCACATAAGCATATTCATCAGCAGAAGTATTACATTAGCTTATATGTACATCTCTGATCCCTTTTGTTCTGTAACACTTCTGGGATAAAGGTAAAAGTATCACTGCTGCCATGAAAATATGCAGACATACCTCGTTCTACTGTGCTGCACTCTTGCATTTCCCAGATACTGCATTTTTTTCAAAAGTGAGCATTTCTGGCAACCCTGCATTGTCAGATGATGGTTAGCATTTTTTAGCAATAAAGTATTTTTGTCTAATTTAGGTATGTACATTGTGTTTTTAGGCATAATGCTATCACACACTTAGACTACTGGATAGTGTAGACATAACTTTTATATGCACTGAGAAACAAAAAAATGTCATGTGACTTGCTTTATTGTGATATTCACTGTATTGCAGTGGTCTGGAACCTAACCCACAAAATCTAGATTAGTCTGTGATTAATAGAAAAGATAAAAGACTTAAAATTCAAAAATTCTATTATTTTAGCATCCATCTTTCTTTCTTCTTGGAAGAAAAAAAGGAAGATTCTTGCAAGATATCTGCCATTCACATCATTTCAATGCTGACTAAATTATGTTTCCAAAGCTTTACATCCTTTTTCTAATCAGAAAAATTAAGATTACTTTATTTTTGTAAATTATAGACTTAGTTCTCAATAGAATTCTACATCTTTTTCCCTGGAGGTTACTTCTAAGAGTTCAAACAATGAAATAATTTCTAAAGAGCTTTAGAGTCTTGAAGTTGGAATGATTCTTGAAGATTAACATCTGAATATCATCTTCGTTAAGGTCTTTAGGCTCTTGTTCCTCTATTACAACCATAATTTTTCTTTCTGGCTATCTGCAAATTTGATAGATCTTTCTCAAATTTTTAGTTACTGTTAAATATACTGAATAGGGCAGGAAGTTGAGCAATCTTTTAAAGGGTCATTTTTCTAACTCATAATTTTTCTCCATCTTGTCTACAAAGATCATATGAAAGTTTTTCAAAAGCATAGTTGAAGCACAGATTTCATTTTCTTAGAATATATTTAGAGGCATATGAGAGCATTATATAAATTAGAAATAAAAAATCAAGACCATAAAAATCACTGTGTTTCACTTCACACGAAACCAAAGGTAACAGACACCCTACCTTTTAGAAGCATAAATAGAAAAGTAGCATTCCATATGGGCTCTCTAAGACAACAGCCATTCCCCACAAATCTACTGTGCCTCCACCCTCACAAAAACACAATGTTGTGGATTGTGGACCAGTGATGAAGCTGAGGCCCCATAACCTGGTTCAGTGACTTTTTTTCACTCATTTTGTAGAGAAGAGAATGCAATTTAAAACCAAGTCTATTGGTGTATAAGAAACTAACACAGTAGTGTGAAGCAATTGTACTCCAATAAAGATCTATTAAAAAAAAAAAGTCTAAGATCTACTTCCTTTCCACTGTCCCTCAATAATAACCTAATGTGAGCAACATAGAAAGATAAGCAGATATGTCCCACCTGTTTTTGGCATAAGCTCATAATATTCAATGAAATAAAAAAACATCAAAAACCTCTACAGCTGGCACTTCCTGGGCTACCTGTATTAATTTTAGTGACTGTGGACTTTGTCTGATCCTGGTCTCTGGTAAGAACTTGTCTGGTCAATTACCAGTATTCATGTACACTACAATGGAATGAGTCTGACTGCCAATTATTTCAGAGAAGAAACTACAATTTCCTTATTCAATGTTCAAAAGTAAATTATTCTCTAAAAATCTGTTTCACCCTGAATTGGATTTATATAGTGAAATACATACGTTTTGCACTTTTTCTTCTTTCTTCTTATGATTTTTCATTCCAGAGTTCCACTGAAAAAAATAAGATATCACTTTTGAATTTTAAAACAGAGATTTATTCCATCACATCTTTCAAAAATGCAAAGTAATTATTTGGATTTAGATTTGTATTTCTGGAAATTTAAGTATGAATATACTTAAACTTAGAGTATTTTCTAAGTTTAGACTTAGAAATATTTAGAATTAGAATATTTAGACTTAGAATATTTTCTTGTTCATACTTTTCTAATAATCTTACAATAATGGGTTTAGTTCATGATAAGATGGTACTAGAACAATTAAATATTCATTTCCTTCTTTGAGTCTTTATTTATTTTTTAAACATCTCCATTTGTACCCTTTGGATGAAACCAGACCATAAATATGTGTTGGCAATACACATTGATACTGTACTGTGTTCACTTCTAGAGTCTAAAAGTACTATTTTTAAATGGAAGATATATTCATTCTCAAAGCATGACTAATTATAATGACTAACCCTTTCTTGGTCATCAAATCAGACTCAAAGAATTGAGGTCTTTAACGTGGGTTGTAAGAAAAAATTCTTTTTTCATTTTGCAGGATAGAGAATTTCATCTGTTCTTTCATTTTTTATATTGTAAATCTCTGTTAGTCAAAATGCACATTTAAATTGAATTTTACCTAAATATATTAAAGACCAGGGCATTCACATTTTTAGTTTTCTGCCAAATGTCTACACTATGAGTGAGACTAGTGGTTTTACAGATTAAAAATTCTGCTGCATTTTTATTTCTACAATTGTTGAAATCCTACTACACTGTTTAAAATAATAAGTAACAGGTTGTAAAGACCACATATCATAAAAAGTCATTGCAATATTTGAATTTTAAAATCATTTTAACAAACTAATTGATTATTCTGTACTATAATTTGTCTTAATTTGTCTTAACAGCTTCCTCTACCAAGACGACATATATCAGCTACAGCAACCATTCAATCTGAAACGGGGAAATGATACAATATGAAGAAATGTGGTATGCGATCTTAAACAATGAACGTGACACCACCAACACTCACTCCTGGAGATCTCTGTAGACTACAATCAGTCAAATCAATAGTCAATCTTGTAAGGAACAAAAAGTAGCCACAAGCCAAAAATATCAATAACAGGGAGTGAAGAAACCCATTTTATATAATACAACCAATGAGTGTCAAGCTAAAGTATTGCTTACTCACGAGCAGTTAAAAAAAAAAAAATCACAAAAGGAAAACTAATGTTAGCTTGTGAAAAAAAAAATGCTGTTGAAATAAACCATGTCTGATGTTATTCTTGTAAGTATTTTTCTGTGATTGTGAGAACTCCCGTTCCTGTCCCACATTGTTCAACTTGTATAAGACAATGAGTCTGTTTCTTGTAATGGCTGACCAGATTGAAGCCCTGGGTTGTGCTAAAAATAAATGCAATGGTTGACGCATGCAATTTTTTATACAAATAATTTATTTCTAATAATAAAGGAATGTTTTGCAAATGTTGAGAGTTGTTTCGTTCCAGTTTTAAAGCCAGGGAAAACTCTTTCCAGTTGGCACGCTGCTGTTATTTAACTGCTGCTGTAAAAGCCCTGCTGTGCCAAGAAACTACTATTTCCTCGAGGAATGTCTTTTTGTACGTTTGCGTGTATGTGAAGAACACGGTCTTTCATTTCTATATGAAAATATTATTTGTGTAAGATTTTTGTGAATATTTCAAGATTTATGTGGTAGTTTTTCATAGTAATTGCTTCTTTTATGAAGAATCAAGCAGTAGCTTGAGGTCAATTGCTTCAGGTATCATAATTAACAAATGATGAGTTAAACTTGGGAGAATGTAATCTGAAAATCACCATCTAAAAGTATATCCAAGTGTCACTGAAATTCTCCATTTTCTAAGTCAAACATTTGTAAAAAGAAATATTCCAAGGTGTGTAATATTTTTTCTTACCTGGGCCTAGTATGCACTAAAATCAGTGAAGTAATGGGCCTTACCCAATACATTCCTCAAAGCACAGAATTAGCATATGTATTCCCTTGGCATCACTAAAGAAACCACAGTCCAGATAACATGTCAGAGCTTTCTTATTTTCCAAATGAAAACATTCATTGGTTCATAGAACAGTATCATTAAAGAGAGAGAAAACAGGGAGCCTGTGTCATGCTAATAAACCACACTAGGATGGGTAAGAGGAGCCTGTTAAAGGCTTTCAAATCTGCTCCCATTTTCGTCCTCGGCGCCTCCATTCTACACAGTCCCAGACATCCATCAAGTCAATGGTTCTCTACAATCATTTTGTTAGTAAATGTTCTCTCCGCTGAGTTAGCTTGGACAGCTCACTGCATCCCTTATAGATACAAAGAGCTATCTGTGCTCTGTAGCTTCAACCCAGATATTGACAGTCACTTTATTTAACAGAGTTGAAGCAGCATAGCTTAGGCTCCTTCAGCATAGAGCAGCATTTCCTAGATACCAACCCAGACAGAGAGCTACATACAGAAGGAAATAGGTACTTATTGGCCTCATGTTGAGTTTCTCCTAATAGTTATTTGTTGTTTGTAGATAATATTTAAATCAAGAGTGAGAGTATTGTTTTCAAGTTTTCAGATTATCTGAATTACTGATAAATACAATCCTGTAATCAGGATCATAAACCCACCTCTAGGTGTGCCTTTCTAGATAAGACCTAGTTTAAAATGAAGGAAACTCATAACTGCATATTTAGTATATTTTATTGGGCCATGTAGCTCAGTACCAATAGCCATACCAAGAAAAGTAATTATAATTGTATTTTAATTTTTAAACTGACAGTTTTCTTCGTATTGGAGATTATTAGTCATTTTAAAGATTTTTTTTAAACTAGTAAGTATATACATGTTTGCTTGAGAAAAATGCTTGAATTTTACCAGGCTTGCATTTCATTCAGAGAGAAATTCAAGTACGTATTCATATTTTCATTTACTAATTGACTTTAGTCAGGGTAAGTGGATACAACAGGGTGATTAAGAGAGCAAAGCTGGCTTTCAGGCCAAAGGTGGGTTGTTATTATTATTATTATTACTTTTTCTTCTAAGGCTTTAGGAAGAAAAATAAAATATTAAGCAAATTCCTGATGTTTCAAAATTGTTCTTCCTATTACAAACTTACCAATGGGTTTTCTTTCCTAAGTACTTATATAAATAATTGATAATTATTTGGTGTTCTACAAAATCTTTTTAACTCATAATATAGTTGAATAATAGTCCTCATAGATTTCCATATGCCAATCATCCTTTATAACATTATCTCAGTGGGAGATTTTCTTGATGAAACTGTCACCCTCCGCAGGCAGTGGGAGGATAAATTCCCTCAACCTCTTACAGTAGGAGCTGGAGCATTCTGACCACCACTGTGGTTATTTTCTCAGGGATTTTGCTGAGGGCTCAGGAGATAGTTATACACGCTGGGACAGTGTGGGGAGGCATCCTGTAAGGAGAAGAATTTAGCATGTGCCAGTAGTGGTTCATAAGTCCCATGCTTTAAAACTAACTGCCTGTGTACTGTAGATAAGCAAATGCAAAGTTGCATGGAAAAAATATAGTATTATAGTCTTTAGAATCGACCTTGTGTTTTATTCTGGCCAAGAAATGTCACATCTAATCTCAGCATGCCAGAGGGAATGCTAAAAATGTAGCCTAAGGTAATATTCAGCAAATGTCACTAGTAGACAATAAGCGATATATTAGTGTGACCTTGGGCCAACAAAATCTGACCTCAATTTTTAAAAAAAATTAGCTTATGCTAGCTAATATCTAAAGGCATCTAAATCCATGGTGGTTGATCTGGCACAAACAAATTTTATTTTTAAGGAAAACTAATCATAAATGTAAGCTTGAGGGGAAGACCGTTGGAACATGAATAGGAACTAAATGACTAAGCTTTATTTTTAGTGTTTATCAGAAACGTTTACAGAAAATTTAACGTTTCAGATGAACAGGATTTTACTTTTTTAACTTAAATTAAATACCATATTACAGGAAATCTCACTAAGAACAGAAGTTTGTGTCATTTTATTTCCTTCCCCTTTGACTCTATATTCTCTATTATTTACCATTGACAGTGAAGAAAGAATATCATCATTTTTCTACATTAGCCAACACTGATATTTTATTTACTTATTTTTATTTATTTTTTTGTCTATCTTTTTTTTTACATTTTTATTGGAGTATACTTGCTTTACAATGGTGTGTTAGTTTCTGCTTTATAACAAACTGAATCAGCTATACATATACATATATCCCCATATTCCCTCCCTCTTGCGTCTCCCTCCCACCCTCCCTATCCCACCCCTCTAAGTGGTCACAAAGCACCAAGCTGATCTCCCTGTGCTATGCGGCTGCTTCCTACTAGCTATTTTGCATTTGGTAGTATATGTATGTCAACGCTACTCTCTCACTTTGTCCCAGCTTACCCTTCCCCCTCCCCGTGTCCTCAAGTCCATTATCTATGTCTGCATCTTTATTCCTGTCCTACCCCTAGGTTCATCTGAACCAATTTTTTTTTTTTTAGATTCCATATATATGTGTTACCATATGGTATTTGTTTTTCTCTTTCTGACTTACTTCACTTTGTAGGACAGACTCTAGGTCCATCCACCTCACTACAAATAACTCAATTTCGTTTCTTTATGCCTGAATAATATTCCATTGTATATATGTGCCACATCTTCTTTACCCATTTGTCTGTCAATGGACCCTTAGATTGCTTCCATGTCCTGGCTATTGTAAATAGAGCTGCAATGAACATTGTGGTACATGACTCTTTTTGAATTATGGTTTTCTCAGGGTATATGCCCCGTAGTGGGATTGCTGGGTCATATGGTAGTTCTATTTTTAGTTTTTTAAGGAAACTCCATACTGTTCTCCATAGTGGCTGTATCAATTTACATTCCCACCAACCCTTTGCTCCACACCCTCTCCAGCATTTATTGTTTGTAGATTTTTTGACGCCGCCCATTCTGACCGGTGTGAGGTGATCCTCATTGTAGTTTTGATTTGCATTTCTCTAATGATTAGTGATGTTGAGCATCCTTTCATGTGTTTGTTGGCAATGTGTACTGATATTTCTTTTATTCAGCAAGTGGATGAAATGACATTCTTAAACCCTATTATGCACCCTTACCAATTTTTCTCATTTCATTTATTTAATGTCAGTATTTCATTTATCTTTTAGAATAAAATTGCTAAAAATAACAATAAGGTTGCACGAAAGGATGAATAAGAAATAATACCAAATTATAGAACATTCTAATCATACAAAATAATGTTTAGAAATGCTTCTTTTTTCTTTTATTATGGTTCTCCTTTAATGGAGATATTAATAATGAAGAAACATTTGGCTTTAGCTAGAAGAAAAGATTTCCTTAAGAAAAAATGAAGCCTATGAATGTTCAGAAACTTGCTGTCATTCTTGGAAAGTGTCATATTATAGTAGCAAGAAGAAGAACAATTATTGTTTTTTTTTTAAAAAAACTATTGTCTATGTTCTATTTCAGTTTTTTTCTTACAAAAATTTTTTTGTAGCATAACTTTTAATGATATTATGACTTACGGGTGCCATTATTTTTTATTTAGTTTAACCCTTCACTGGGACATTCAGAATATTTTTCTCTCTGTTGAACTTAGTGTATTATAAATGTAAAGCCTTGTACTATATTTTGGCTACTTTCAGAGTGATAAGGATAGAGGAAAAGAAATTTGACCTATTAAATATTTTTCTAATTGTGTAATGCCTTATTAAGTAGTTTTAGCAAAGCTAACTTTCACAAATAACTTGTTACAAAGTCATGAAGGCCAAGCATGGATTGGGACCTATTAAAAAATAAGAATTGGCCATGTAATGACTTGGATAGGAGGTAGGGGTGATGTGGTTATAGAAAACAGGAATGGCAAATCATCCATGTGATGTATCAGATTTTGAAGTAAGCATATAAGATTATTTACCAATGAACTAAGTTTCATTAGGTAAGTTCGCTAGAACATAGGATGATCTTGAGACCTAATGAAAATTATCAGAACGTTCAAGTATAATTCTGAAAGAGTTAAAAATATTGATACAACTTTCATAAAGAGGTAAAATGAAAAGGTCAAGGATTTTATTCAATCCATTTATTAATTAGGGAATCAGTAAGATGTTAAAACTAGCACAAAGAGCATCTGAAAAGCTAATGATGTATATAATATATTCAATATATAAATAAATATTGGGATAAATCAGAGGATTAGATATAAAACTAGTTTAGTGTCTTAAGGTGTAATAAAGTGTAAACTTAGAGGTTATCTCTTCCATTGGACAGACATTATTTGAAACTACTGGATAAAGATTGACAAATTAACCCCTGTATCTACAGAGCTATAAAATAACCATGTTGATAGAAACTCAAATGTAGCACTGTGCTGAGAAAAAAAAAATCACCATTTTTGCCTATTTCCATGTTTCGGATAATTTTTCTAAGTTATATTTTATT